CAGGTAAAATCGCAGGTATGATAAGCAGAATTCAACATGCCACAGCTTTAGCAAGCCACACTACAAGAGAAGCTATGTTAGCAGGAAAAAAGAAAAAAAAAGCCAATGCGTTTAAAATTTAGTTTCATCTGGAGGTAATTTTTCTGGGTGTTCATTTTCTGCAAATACTCTTGTTTACCAATAGGAATATTTGGCAAAAACATTGAATTTAAATATTAAAGAATATTTAGACAGACTTGAATTTTTACCCCAAACAAGCATATTTGAAGTATATGTCCAATACATACAAATTTGTAAACTGAACCACCAATGTATCCAATCAACACAAGCCCAGACCAATTTTCAAATACTTGCAATGAACTGTTCACAAATGAGGTAGCTGCACCAAGAATTAACACCAACAGAAAACTGGAAAACTCAGGGGTATGCTAGGAACAATTTTCCAAAGAGAAATAAAACCACATTCATTAAATTTTCAGCATAACTTACTTGCCCACTTCTAACTAAAAAGAAAACTGACTAAAGAGAGAACAGTGAAGGTTCCCATACTAAAGGAATAAACCTACTCACAGAATATTTTCCATCCAAACATACTAGGGATGTTAAAAGAGGTAATTGAGTAACCGTGTATCCACTGAAAATTTCAGTGGTAACAAGCATCCACAGTGAGAGACATCAGAGCCAGTCCATACCAGCTCCCACCTATAGCCCCACTTTCAGGGAGCTGGCTGCCATCCCTGAGCTGCTAGCTCTAATACAGCCTGCCAGGAGTCTGTGTGTAATCGTTAACGGTAACCAATAAGCCCAGGTTTATCAACCATTCAAACAGGTATACTTTCACATCCCTACAACGCACACATGTATCAAAGTACAGTTCAAGGAAAATTCAAAGCTTGAAAAATTTAGCCAAAAAGTGATAAAAGATCGATGGGGCATAAAAAGCAGTGAAGGCAAGAAAGAAGCTCAGCTACAATCTAGCAAGGTATTATTTGGAAGGGAATTAGCTGGCTGGGGACTCTTTGTAATGTTTGATTTGTAGGTGTCTGATCAGCTGTTTGATTTGTAGGTGTTTGGCTAGCTCTTAACTCTCCCATGAAGCTATGAGGTATGACTGCCCATTTCAGTGATACCTATAACATGGGCTAGTATCAGCAAAACCCCTAACCACCACCAGAAGTACTGGAGCTAACTGAAAGCTCTATTTCAAAACAAGCTTAATACTATAGAAATGGTTGGATTAGACACCCTCTCCACCCCCATTCACCAGAAAACAATATTGGAAGTCATCTGCATCTTCCCCCATATAATTGCTAGCGTGTATTACAAACTATTTCTTGCTTTAAAATAAACCAGGTTTGATTTATTCTAAGTTTAATTTTTAAGCTCACACTTGAACTGTATCCCATGTTTGTGAAATTACTAAACTAAATGTGAGACTAATGTGAAAAAAAATGCTCATTCAGAAAATTTCTTTCATTAGGATTTACATAGCCAAGCATGCTAAATAAGTGTTTTAATACCACACACACACACACACACACACACACACACACACACACACCAGTCACACAATTCACTCAATAATGAGTGTATTGGCATAAATATTAGAGATTCATTTTATTACCTAGGTTATCACTTTTATCATATGATTATGAAGCATACGATCTGATACAATCTGAAGCATAACCAAGTTTTGAAATCAAATATATCTTATGTTTTAAAAGTAATCCACCCTAAGCTGTCAAATTTTTCATTCAAAAATATAAATTCCATATCCATTTTGATAATACAAATGGCACACACAGAAAAGTCAATGTAAAGTAGAAAAAAATCTGACATTCTTTTTTGTCTCTGGAAAATCCTCCTTCCTGGGGAGAACTACAATTACATCTTGGACAAAGTGCCAATTGGTAAAAAAGCGGTAAAACTAGCCAATTAATATACGCTTCAAGTTACATTTAACTCCCCCTTTTCCATTCAGACACGCCCCCTTCCGTTTGCATCTGTAGCACATGGCTAAACATTAAAGTAGGATAGTGCTTGCAAATCTAACCAACTGTTTAAATTGACGGACATATTCAATGTAGGTGCAAGCCACCTCCAATTGCTTTAAAATGGTCTTTGGAGCGCACTTCAAACTCCACGTGACTAAAAGTTATTAGCCGCATGAAAGCAGAAAGGAAACACTTCTAATAGAGTGCTTTGCCACTCCCAGCATTATCTCCAAAATGACTTACCTATTGGTGAATTGAAATATAAAAATGGCGGCTTTGTGGTCAATGCCAACTGCGATTAACTTGATTGCCTATTCCTAATAATGTGCCCAGATCAAGCCTATAGTATTGTATGTGATCTGCTAGACAGACACTCACCCCGATCCATACCTCAGCTTGCACCTAAAACTGCTTCCAACTGCTAGTGTATAAAACTGAAAAATGAAAACTAAATAGTATCACAATTAATAAATAAGGGAAGGATCTTACACTTGCCAAAACCCAGAAGAATGGAGACTTGTTTACAGAGCTACCTGAGGTTACAGTGGCCTTGTGCATGAAGTGCAAAAATGCTTATAACGAGCATACCGATTACCATTCCATAAACACATCAGAACAGCAATTTTAAAATGAGCTGTGCTCAGTGAATTAGAACATCCACACAACAAAGTAAAAAAAAAAGCTTAAAAACATTCAAATTAAACTCTAGGTCAAATACAACTCAACAACTACTTCAGGCTGTGCGGGGGCAGCAGCAGCACGATTCATTTAAGTATAGAAGTAGCCACCCGAAACATACAGTTAACCCCGCCCAACTCAGCTAGTGAACAGCTCCACTTCTAACTACAATGGAAGTAAAAATCGGCATCCCACCACACTCTTTAAAGCTATCAGGATTATTTATATCAGGCAATTTAAAGTTTCCTTTTTTTCCTATTCCCACAGCCTAAGCACGATTAGACCTGCACAGCACATGCATTATACATCAATTTAGACATATAAAATTTAGTGGGCATTTATATTAAAGTTAATGCCGCAGTTCCACACACTAATGAAAGAGCTTGTTTCCTTTCCCCGTATGTGTGTGTATAGCAATAATAGGTAGCAGAACTTCAGCTACATTTCTTTCCTAAGCAGCAGACTTGTCACATTAAAGAATATATATCCAAATAAATGCAAATACATTCGAATTGTTATCAACAAGATATCTGATGTACACAAATACTGCATGTGAACATACAGATGCACACCTACTCTGTGTAAAGGCCTTAACTGACTTCCCTTGCAAACCAGTCAGAATACTGCAGTACACGGAACGTTATACTATTAAAAACACACAACTACGCGCCAATCAGTTTTTCTGACAGTCATTACTAAAGTATCTGTCGGACGGGAGGGAGAAAGAGATCCGGGTTTAGGAACAGAAGGAGGTTTGTTAGGTTTCTTTGCGGAGAGCAGTAGGGACACTGCAGCCCCTCCCTCCTCTCGGTCCCTGCGTTGTATACAGGGCCACCCCACGTGATCCAGGCGGACGTTTCAATACTGCTGCACAGACACACAAAAATATTTCTGGAAACTTCCACTCCTAATAATTTACAGATTATGCCCCTAATTTCTCGAGTTCCCAACACTGGCTCCAGCCCCACACTTCACATATAATCAAAAGCACAAAATGACCACCATCTACCCCACCCCCACAAGCCTTCACAGCAACCTCCCCACACCACGCTCCTTCTTTCCCCACACCCATAGCATCAGTGGTAGAATTTGCTCTCTAGTCAATTGCAAAGCCGACACGTCTGATGTTTGTAGCCCGAAGACCACGCGTCTCCCGCCCTAAGTCTTACACCCATTGTGCCTTGCCTACCCGCGACTTTCTGCCCTCCACACACCCACCCTCCTGCTGAGAATCCCTTTTAACCCTCCCACTTCCCCCCCCAAATACATCCAACCCCGCACCCCAAGATTTTCACCCCATAAGAGTTACTTACCTAAATAGTTATTACAGCCTCGGCCTTTAAAAAATGCGGGCGGGGGGAGTGAAGTTTCCAACCACACCAAAAAAAAATTGAGGAGAAATCACACGCGCGCGCCCTCTCCCCGACTGAGCGTTTATTGGTGTCACCCTTCTCCCCCCCACCGCCTCCAAGCCAAGCGTGCACTGGGCTGCTTGTATGACTCGCTCAGCGCGGGCTGCTGCTAACCCCTGGCCAGGCTCACTCGCTCCCTGCTGCCCCTGGCTCCCCCTACAAGGACTCGGCCCCCAACTACCTGCTCCCGGGCCTAGGCCGCCCAGCGCAGGGGATGGAGCCCCTCCCTTCCCGGCGGCTTGGCTCTGGTTCCCCAGGCCCGGCTATCTGCTTTCCTGGGGCTCCTTGAGTCCCGAGCTTCCCAGCCCCGCTGCTTTGGTGGGCCCCGGGTCTGTCACTCCCCAGGCCCCGGGCTCCTCTGGCTGAGTCTCTGGTTGCCCGGGCCCCTGCTTCTCCCCTTGATCTGGCCGGGTCTCAGTACACCCCCATTCCCCCCCCGCTCGCACTAAACTTTGCCCCGGCGGGTGTGTCGGCGGCTCCCCCTGCGGGCTCCCCTGTGAGCAGGTCACACACACAGCGGCGGAGGCAGCAGCGGCGGCAGGGAGTGAGCGCAGCGTTTCTCCCCCTCCTAGTGCCACAGACTCGGAACCGGCTCAAACCGGTTCAGACTGGGAGATTCCATCTCGGTTTAGTTTTCAGCCCATGGCGCCGCGAAGCGTTTGGAAACCTCAGGCCTCCGCCCAGCTGCTGCTCCCATTGGCTCCGAACACAGCCGCTGCGCAGGCGGCCTCGCCTCTCATTGGACAAGAGGACCGTCCGTCTGTGCGCTGCCGAGAGGGGGGGGTGGGTAGGAGGCCCTGCCTCTTCTCTAGCAGCGATTTGCCCGCAGAGGGGGGAGGTGGCGGCGCGGCAGCCCTCGTTGACTGGCCGCGCTTAGCTGTCGCTCAAAAACGATGCCCGCCCACAACTCCCGACCCGCGGGCGCAGTTTTTACCCACCGATGATTGGCTGGGCGCTTGGAATGACGTAGGCGTTCGAGAGAAGCTTTTACGACGGTGCGTTGAGAAGGGCGCGCGGTTGCGTAGAGCGGGTAGTGAGGCCCCGAGAAAGCGCGGGGCGAGGGAGGGAGAAGGGGGGGGGGTCTTCTTGGCCTGCGACCGGCACGAGATTCCTAGGCGCGCGTAGGGCCCTGTCGCCGGATGGTGCCTATTAGGAGCAAGAGCTTCTGTCTTCGCGTTCGCTGGGAGCGAGCAGGGCTAGTGGGCGCGTCTGTGGCTGGCTCCAAGGGCAGCGGCGGAAGGGCCGGGCACCCCACTGTGTGTCTCAGAGGGAGCCCCTCCCCGCCCTTCTCCTCGCGTACGTCTACGGCCCCATCACCGTAGCGTGTCTCAGCCGTTTAGAGTCCGTTGACCCAGCAGCCCTTTGAGGCTGGGCGGTGCCGCCCCGTGCAGCGCAGGGCAGCGGCTACAGAGCCTCGCCCGCGGCCCACAGCGCAGGCAATCCATGGCCTCTTAGCGCTCGATTCTGAATGGGAGCGTTGGGACAGCCGTCTCCTGCTCTCTGGTGGCTGAAACTGGCCACGCGGGGAGGGCGGCGCT